ATCAATATGAGGGACTCTGTATTCGGCACTTCAGACAGAGCACACTGCACTTCCTCAAGGAAGGTCTCACTCTCCCTCGAAATTAGGCGCATATTTCTGTGACAACGTCAACGCTTTACCTTGGAGTTCAGTCAAAGGACTGCTGTTGGGTTATGCCGGATCACCAACACCGACTTGAGCGCGCGTCGTGATATCGACGCCAGAGTAGAATAGCCTCCACCCGCAGGGTGCAGCTTCATTCCAACACCATAGAGTTTTGTTGATGAGAGTCCTAGTATGTGACATTGGTAGCTTGCAGTCGATTAAGCAATACCTCCTCTTTCCTTCTGAGTGAGGACATATTTCGATTTCTGACTGTAAACTGCCACTGCTCTTGTATCGTTCTCTTGAACTCTTTTCTGAGGAGCAATAAAATCGTCACTCCCTCTCTACTGTGTTCGGAACGAGTAGCCGTTCCGTTGATGACTTACGTCTTCGCCGCTTTTTTGTTGACCTTCGGCAGCCGTCGCAGTGCTGCTGCACCTGTCAATCGCCAGAATAAGCGAGGCAGGTTCTGATTGTCATTTTTCTCAGCCTACCTCAGTTTTTTAACAGTTTTTGCTTTCCTCGGTGCAACTCTGGCAACGACCGAGCCGGTATGGTGTTCTATGACGTCAATACCATTTGCTGTAGGTGGTTAGGTTTAACGGGCCCGTCGTCATCGCCACTGTCAAGAGTATTTTCGTCATCGCCGTCGCTGTCGTCATTCTCCTCATCTTTGCCATTTCCTTTGTTATCACCATATTCATAATTGAATCCTAATCAGTTGCCTCCATCTGCTACCGTAGAAAACTCAGATCACTATTTAATGAATTAATGGAAAGCGAGTTACGGTGCAGACTGCGAATTGATGTTTTTGGCTGTCCGTCGTCAACGACTCCAAAATGCGGCGTAATTAATTGGTTTTGAAAAAAACTAATCAGCTAGCTACAAATGGTGAAGACGTTATCTGATGGAGAAGCGAGGCAGAGAGGGAAACCTGACGCATCGATTCGCTTTCATCGACCATTTGCACTTTGGACGATGGTGGCTGCTGAACATCTCTTTTCATTAACTGCCAAGAACCGACATTTGAAAAAAATGCGGTTCCGTCATTTCAACACGATGACCGAAACCGAATCACATATGTTACGATACCGTTTTCCTCACACCACGGGTAACCTGATAGCTTAACTGTTTTTTAATGACTTTTCCTTGAAGAAATTCATTTTTACTTGTGTGTAAAAAAATCTTATGAAAACCAAAACATGGTAGAAAAAACAGATACGAATGCAGCGCGATTAAAGACAGGGTTGTCGAAGGACGCCACATGTCGTTCACCACGACGAACCTCCTCCACGGCTACGATCCGGCTCAGGTACATGCCTTGCCGTCCGAGGTGGTAATTGACCTATATTCCTATTGGTGGAACTAACCCGCATTTCATTCATATCAGCTCGGCCTGAAACTGTATATGCTTGTGATATGTCTGTTTTGTCGCACTGGTGATTATATCTCATCTTGAACATGATCGAACAGTGAACCTAAAGCTGCAAGAGAAAAAATAAAAGCTTATGTGTAGAGGTAGGCTTTGCGATAATTACACTGCGGTCATCGATGTATTATCGGTATTATCGGTTTGGACTGATCAGCGAGTCAATTTAAGTTCATAAATCCGACATGGACGGATTACCACCGTGAACGATAACGTATACCGTAAACGGCACTTCACTTTGAAATAAATTTCATCGTCGTACAGTTTCATTATGGGGACGCAGAAAATGGCAATAGAACGGCATCAGAATCGCCATTAAGAGAAACAAAATAAAGCGAAAATCGTTGAATGATCATCGGGTGTACAACACCATATTATCATGTAAATGACCCTACTGAAATGTTAGTAAACACTTGTTTTCTGGTGTTCCTTGTGGACCGATGTTTAACCACAGCAATGCAGCTTCATGAAGAAAGCTCTACCTCAAGGACAATTGATCATAACTAATAACAATCAAATGTTTTCGTCTCCCGACCTATGATTCAACGCAACAGTCATCAAGAACGATATGAGATCCTCTACTCAACCGTGTGTTTCATCGTCGCATATCAGCTTCATCATTAGGGCCATAACGACAAAAGATTTCATAAATTATCAGTCGAATGGTTTTAGACCCAAAGAAACAGATATCTGTAATCTTTTCTATGACTTCTGTTGTTTC